AAAAGTGAACTTAATGCGTTTGAGCCAATCAGTTGCGTTGTGACAAGGTATGGGCCCCTATTTGGTAAAAGTCCAAGTCCATATTATGGCAAGAACAGCTCAAATAAGCAAAGAGAAACGACAGTCCATCATTACTTTAAGACATGAAGGTCAGTCAATATGGAAAATGTAAAGAACTTTGAATGTTTCTTCAAGTGCAGTCGCAAAAACCATCAAGCACTATGATGAAACTGGCTCTCATGAGGACCACCACTGGAATGGAAGACCCAGAGTTACCTCTGCTGCAGAGGATAAGTTCATTAGAGTTACCAGCCTCAGAAATTGCAGCCCAAATAAATGCTTCACAGAGTTCAAATAACAGACACATCTCAACATCAACTGTTCAGAGGGGAATGTGTGAATCAGGCCTTCATGGTCGAATTGCTGCAAAGAAACCATTACTAAATAACACCAATAAGAGAATACACTTGCTTGGGCCAAGAAACACGAGCAATGGACATTAGAGAGAATGCCAAGATTGTGCAAAGCTGTCATCAAGGCAAAGGGTGGCTACTTTGAAGAATCTCAAATATAAAATATATGTTGATTTGTTTAACACTTTTTTGGTTACTACATAATTCCATATGTGTCATTTCATAGTTTTGATGTCTTCACTATTATTCTACAATGTAGAAAGTAGTAAAAATAAAGAAAAACCCTGGAATGAGTAGGTGTGTCCAAACTTTTGACTGGTACTGTACATATATACAGTGGGGGAAAAAAGTATTTAGTCAGCCAATAATTGTGCAAGTTCTCCCACTTAAAAAGATGAGAGAGGCCTGTAATTTTCATCATAGGTACACGTCAACTATGACAGACAAAATGAGAAGAAAAATTCCAGAAAATCACATTGTAGGATTTTTTATGAATTTATTTGCAAATTATGGTGGAAAATAAGTATTTGGTCAATAACAAAAGTTTCTCAATATTTTGTTATATACCCTTTGTTGGCAATGACACAGATCTCACAAGGTTTTCACACACTGTTGCTGGTATTTTGGCCCATTCCTCCATGCAGATCTCCTCTAGAGCAGTGATGTTTTGGGGCTGTCGCTGGGCAACACAGACTTTTAACTCCCTCCAAAGATTTTCTATGGGGTTGAGATCTGGAGACTGGCTAGGCCACTCCAGGACCTTGAAATGCTTCTTACAAAGCCACTCCTTCGTTGCCCGGGCGGTGTGTTTGGGATCATTGTCATGCTGAAAGACCCAGCCACGTTTCATCTTCAATGCCCTTGCTGATGGAAGGAGGTTTTCACTCAAAATCTCACGATACATGGCCCCATTCATTCTTTCCTTTACACGGATCAGTCGTCCTGGTCCCTTTGCAGAAAAACTGCCCCAAAGCATGATGTTTCCACCCCCATGCTTCACAGTAGGTATGGTGTTCTTTGGATGCAACTCAGCATTCTTTGTCCTCCAAACACGATGAGTTGAGTTTTTACCAAAAAGTTATATTTTGGTTTCATCTGACCATATGACATTCTCCCAATCCTCTTCTGGATCATCCAAATGCACTCTAGCAAACTTCAGACGGGCCTGGACATGTACTGGCTTAAGCAGGGGGACACATCTGGCACTGCAGGATTTGAGTCCCTGGCGGCGTAGTGTGTTACTGATGGTAGGCTTTGTTACTTTGGTCCTAGCTCTCTGCAGGTCATTCACTAGGTGTGGTTCTGTGATTTTTGCTCACCGTTCATGTGATCATTTTGACCCCACGGGGTGAGATCTTGCGTGGAGCCCCAGATCGAGGGAGATTATCAGTGGTCTTGTATGTCTTCCATTTCCTAATAATTGCTCCCACAGTTGATTTCTTCAAACCAAGCTGCTTACCTATTGCAGATTCAGTCTTCCCAGCCTGGTGCAGGTCTACAATTTTGTTTCTGGTGTCCTTTGACAGCTCTTTGGTCTTGGCCATAGTGGAGTTTGGAGTGTGACTGTTTGAGGTTGTGGACAGGTGTCTTTTATACTGATAACAAGTTCAAACAGGTGCCATTAATACAGGTAACGAGTGGAGGACAGAGGAGCCTCTTAAAGAAGAAGTTACAGGTCTGTGAGAGCCAGAAATCTTGCTTGTTTGTAGGTGACCAAATACTTATTTTCCACCATAATTTGCAAATAAATTCATTAAAAATCCTACAATGTGATTTTCTGGATTTTTTTTCCTCAATTTGTCTGTCATAGTTGACGTGTACCTATGATGAAAATTACATGCCTCTCCCATCTTTTTAAGTGGGAGAACTTGCACAATTGGTGGCTGACTAAATACTTTTTTCCCCCCACTGTATATACTACATGACCAAAAGTATGTGGACTCCTGCTCGTCTAACATCTCATTCCAAAATCATGGGCATTCATATGGAGTTGGTCCCCCTTTTGCTGCTATAACAGCCTTGACTAGATGTTGGAACATTGCTGCGGGGACTTGCTTCCATTCAGCCACAACAGCATTAGTGAGGTCGGGCACTGATGTTGGGCAATTAGGCCTGGCTCGTAGTCGGCGTTCCAATTCATCGCAAAGGTGTTCAATGGGGTTGAGGTCAGGGCTCTGTGCAGGCCAGTCAAGTTCTTCCACACTGATCTCGACAAACCATTTCTGTATGGACCTCGCTTTGTGCACAGGGGCATTGTCATGCTGAAACAGGAAAGGGCCTTCCCAAAACTGTTGCCACAAAGTTGGAAGCACAGAATCGTCTAGAATGTCATTGTATGCTGTAGCATTAAGATTTCCCTTCACTGGAACTCAGGGGCCTAGCCCGAACCATGAAAAACAGCCCCAGACCATTATTCCTCCTCCATCAAACTTTACAGTTGGTACTATGCATTTGGGCAGGTAGCATTTTCCTGGCATCCGCCAAACCCAGATTCGTCCGTCGGACTGCCAGATGGTGAAGCGTGATTCATCCCTCCAGAGAACGTTTCCACTGCTCCACTGAGTCCTGAGTTTTATACCACCCCAGCCAACGCTTGGCATTGCACATGGTGATCTTAGGCTTGTGTGCGGCTGCTCGACCATGGAAACCCATTTCAGGAAGCTCCCGACGAACAGTTATTGTGCTGACGTTGCTTCCAGAGGCAGTTTGGAACTCGGTAGTGAGTGTTGCAACCAAGAACAGACGATTTTTACACGCTACATGCTTCAGCACTTGGCGTTCCCATTCTGTGAGCTTGTGTGGCCTACCACTTCGCGGCTGAGCTGTTGTTGCTCCTAGACGTTTCCACTTCACAATAACAGCACTTACAGTTGACCGGGGCAGCTCTAACAGGGCAGACATTTTATTAACTGACTTGTTGGACAGGTGGCATCCTATGACGGTGCCACATTGAAAGTCACTGAGCTCTTCAGTAAGGCCATTCTACTGCCAATGTTTGTCTATGGAGATTGCATGGCTGTGTGTTTGATTTTATACACCTGTCAGCAACGGGTGTGGCTGAAATAGCCGAATATACTAATTTGAAGGGGTGTCCACATACTTTTGTATATTCAGTACCAGTCAAAAGTTTGGACACACCTACTAATTCCAGGGTTTTTCTTGATTTTTACTATCAGACATCAAAACTGTGAAATAACACATATGGAATTATGTAGTAACCAAAAAAGTGTTAAACAAATCAAAATATATTTTATATTTGAGATTCTTCAAAGTAGCCACCCTTTGCCTTGATTACAGCTTTGCACACTCTTGGCATTCTCTCAATCAGCTTCATAAGGTAGTCACCTGGAATACATTTCAATTAACAGGTGTGCCTTGTTAAAAGTTAATTTGTGGAATTTATTTTCTTTTGATGTCTTCACTATTATTCTTTATATTAGGTGTGTCCAAACTTTTGACTGGTACTGTGTATATATATAAATTGGGTGAAGGGGTGGGGACCACGCGCCCCCTCCCCCCCACCAACCCCTCAGGCGCGCCCCAGAGTTTGGGAACCACCAAAAAACCATTATATGATACTAAAACCATTATACGATTTATTGACTTTAGGGAAAAAGTATATGCCACACACACACATACTGCATTCACACTGCAATGCGGATTTGATTGAATTCACCCTCGGGAAGTGATAAATGAGCAAAGAAAATAGAATTAGAAGAACAGTCATCTGTATGCTAAGGGTTTACACTGAACCAGCCCCTATGATAAACACTGTATGACTACTATTGATCTGTTCTGAAAGGTTTTATTATGAACTGAACTGGACGGAACCTGATTTATTGCATTTCTTATCCTTGAAAACAACTGCAGTCTATAGCATATTGCCTACATGCGGTAATAGTGAACTGCTAGAATGCTTGAGGGACAATGTGGCTAAACTATGTTCTAAAATGTAATACCATCAACAGATCTTTATAAACTAAGGGTTTACTCATTTCAAGCTTGAGGGAAGAGGTTTGTATGGTAATGGTAGTATTGAAATGCTTGGAATTGCCATCCACCTGTCCAGCACCCAGACAGTCTCAGTAAGATTAATGCACACTCATGGAGTATTAGCCAGTAGCGCATGCTTGTCTTGCTGCAAGGGTTAGCTGCTGTGACTCAACATTCAAAAACACCATAGCTCCAAGACAAAAGCACAATATTCCAATTAATCATTCATGTGCAACAAGAAATGTTCCATAATAATAGCATGTAAATGATTTAGATATTATTGGGTTGGTTATTTGCTATAGTTATAAAGCCATTTCATAATAAAAACAACAACTAAAAACACATTTTCTATCTGTCATGTCCGTCATTTGAATTAACTTAAAAACAAAAACACTTAACACATCTAGAAAATGGCATTTAGATTGACTTTGCGCACTGCACCTGTGGCTAGATAGCCTATTGAAAGAATGGCTGTTTGGCAAATTGAAGATTGTTGACTGGGTGCTCCTGCGGTCATTTAAAATTCATGTCACACACATCTGTTCACAGACACTATGGTGGCACCCAGCAACCAGCAAGCATCCAGGCGTTAACATGAAGCCCAGCATAGGCTACTATACAGTAGAAGCGCGCATCCTACCTTGCACGACCACCACCCTCGTATTGAAAGACACCTCTTTGTTTGAAGAGCTCGGAGTGGGGTCATCTCCCTCGAACAGTTGGTTCACCTCGCCCTGGATGTCTGACACGTTACGGCCGCCGTCGCTCTTGGAGAAGGCGGTCACAGTAAACCTCTGGCTCATGGTGTCGCCGGCGGTACCTCACAACTGTGAAACAAGCGGCGAGTCTCCTGCCTTGGCGGCGCCCCGGTGGAGGAATTCACCGAGGATGCAGATGCAGACGCAGATAGAAGCTCCTGACAGCTGTTGAGAGGGCTGTACACAGACCCAAGTGATTGTCCTCGGTATCATTGACTAGATCTCTATCGGCAACAAGTTTCCCTCTGTCTTGTCTTTGGAAACTGCGGCGTTTTGTTCGTTGATATGAGATATTGAATGATGAGAATAAGCTATCACATCAACCGGTGTCTGGAAACGGTTGCGCACCTGGGTCCTAAAGCCGGTGTAATATTGGTAAATAGGTAGTATAGATAGACTACCTTTTACCATAAATGACTATGTACAATTAGTGCTTCCAACCATGTGCATTAGCCCCATATTGTAAGCAATGCCACTTTTATAGATATCTCCCTTATTGCCTGTAAGTCACTTCATTTCGTATGTAAATAAATGAGAGGTGGTAATGAAGTATCCAATTTCTTGATAGCCTATGCAGCATTTGAAATAACAATGTTTATACACTGAACAAAAATCTAAACGCAACATGTAAAGTGTTGGTCCCATGTTTTATGAGCTGAAATAAAAGATCCCAGAAATGTTCCATAAGCACAAAAAGCTTATTTCTCTCAAATGTTGTGCACAAATTTGTTTACATCCGTATTAGTGATCATTTCTTCTTTGCCAGGATAATCCATCCACATGACAGGTGTGGCATATCAAGAAGCTGATTAAAAACAGCATGATCATTACACAGGTGCACCTTGTGCTGGGGACAATAAAATGTGCAGTTTTGTCACACAACACAATGCCACAGATGTCTCAAGCTCTGAGGGAGCATGCAATTGGCATGTTGACTGCAGGAATGTCCACCAGAGCTGTTGCCAGATAATGTAATGTTAATTTCTCTACCATAAGCCTGCTCCAACATTGTTTTAGAGAATTTGGCAGTACATCCAACTGGCCTTATAACCACAGACCACGTGTAACCACGCCAGCCCAGGACCTCCACATCCGGCTTCTTCACCTGCAGGATCGTCTGAGACCAGCCACCCAGACAGCTGATGAAACTGTGGGTTTGCACAACCAAAGAATTTCGGCACAAATTGTCAGAAACTGTCTCAGGGAAGCTCATCTGCATTTTCGTTGTCCTCACCAGGGTCTTGACCTGACTGCAGTTCAGCGTCATAACCGACTTCAGTGGGCAAATGCTCACCTTTGATGGACACTGGCACGCTGGAGAAGTGTGCTCTTCAAGGATGAATCCCAGTTTCAACTGTATCAGGCAGATGGCAGACAGCGTGTATAGCATCATGTGTGGGCGAGCGGTTTGCTGATGTCAACGTTGTGAAAAGAGTGCCCCATGGTGGAGGTGGGGTTATGGTATGGGCAGGCATAAGCTACGGACAACAAACACAATTGCATTTTATTGATGGCAATTTGAATGCACAGAGATATCTTGATGAGATCCTGAGGCCCATTGTCGTGCCATTCATCTGCTGCCATCACCTCATGTTTCATCATGATAATGCATGGCCCGATGTCGCAAGGATCTGTACACAATTCCTGGAAGCTAAAAATGTCCCAGTTCTTCCATGGCCTGCATACTCACCAGACATGTCACCCATTGATCACGTTTGGGATGCTCTGGATTGACATGTAGGACAGTGTGTTCCAGTTCCCGCCAATATCCAGCAACTTCGTACAGCCATTGAAGAGGAGTGGGACAACATTCCACAGGTCACAATCAACAGCCTGATCAACTCTATACTAAGGAGATGTGTCATGCTGCATGAGGAAAATGGTGGTCACACCAGATACTGACTGGTTTTCTGCCCCTACCTTTTTTAAAGGCATCTGTGACCAACAGATGCATATCTGTATTCCCAGTCATGTGAAATCCATAGATTAGGGCCGAATTAATTTATTTCAATTGACTGATTTTCTTACATGAACTGTAACTCAGTAAAATATTTGAAATAGTTGCATGTTGTGTTTATATTTTTGTTCAGTGTGTTTTCATGAAATAGAAACCCGTTTTAGGAAATGAGTAAAGTAAATGAGAAGTCTTCCTCAAGTCACATTTGATGGGTATGACCCAGGATCCCCGATATTCACATTTCTGGTAGCCTACAATGCATAGCCTATACACAACAATATAATAGTAATAATAATAATAGCAATAATAATAATGTAGTATTATTAATATACACATGTATAATCAATCATTGTATGTATTATTATTATTACTATTGTTATTTAGTCTGCCTTCTCCCTACTCATTACCATAACTATAGATTATTGACTTTAGCACAAGGGAATCACGTGATGAAGTTTTCGAGGGAACGCCATGGGTAGAGGAATGTTTGCTGGACTCTTAGTGTAGCCTAACATTCATGCAAGTTGTGTTTTTATTCTCAAACTCTTTACTGTAACGGTAATGTAGCCTACTCTGAAATATTTTGTAGTTTATATCTTATTTTGACTTGAATTTGAAATAGCTTGACTCGGTCAATTTGCAGTGTGGACTTTGCACGGACATAAACGAAGTTGAGTGTTCGAGTTTATAAGTAAACGTTGGTTATGCTCAAACTCAATGATTATACTTAACGTTTTGTTATTGAAAGAGTCATTTTTCCAGAGCCTACGCCTTTTGAAGTTACATTGTATCCGTTCTGCAGCTGTTGAATATAGCCTACCATTAATTGGTAGTCACAAGGCTGGAATTGGACAGAAGGCTGGAAATACACAGACAGAATCTCAAAAAGTAAGGGTGTTTTTTGTGAGTGACGTTTTAGCTTTGAGCAGTGAGTTTCCTCAGCTAGACCTATATCAGAAATTGTAATTATGCTGATGATGTACCCTCAAATTGAAATTTTCTTGATCAGCCTTTGACAAGTACCTCAACTCCATAATGATTTCATCCACGGAGTTGAGAGCGCAGACTATAATTTTTCAAATGAACCTTCGAGTCGCTATGCAGTCAATACTTTAAAATCCTTGTACCTATGTTCATCCTCTGTTGTTGAGTGCCTTTCTTTGTTTGCTAAAATTGACATGTTTAAATATAACTTTAATCAAGTTCAACCACCGACTGTTTTCTTGTTGAGATTGTTGGCACATGCGCATTCCTGAGTTGCCATTTTAGAGCAACAGCAATAAGTAACAGTTGGTGGTTGTATTTAACTAACGTTTTATTATAAGGTTTTATAAAAAAAAAATATGGATTTTAGCAAACAAAGAAAGGCACACAATAACAGAGGACAAACATACGTACACGGTAAAGGTTTAAGAATGTACATTTTGAAGTATCGACTGCATAGCAACTCGAAAGAGTCATATGTTCATGAAAAAAAACTCTAGTCTGCACTCAACTCCGTGGATGAAGTCATCGTGAAGTTGAGGTACTTGGCAAGATCAGCCCTGACCTAATAGTGGGTTGATATGACATTGGTATGACACATTTGAAATACATGTAGTGGTCTAGTAGATATGACATTGGTATTACAAATATGAACATGAAATTGTAAGAACGAGCCTAACATGCAAAATATATTTGAATGATGGGGACTTCGTATTCAATTACCCTATCTTCATTATACATTGTATGGTGTTAAGTAACAGTAAATACATTTAGAAGAGAACACCAGATTCACTGAGAACACCAGGTAGGTAGGTTACACTGAGAACACCAGATAGGTAGGTTACACTGAGAACACCAGGTAGGTTACACTGAGAACATCGGATAGGTTACTCTGAGAACATCGGATAGGTTACACTGAGAACATCGGATAGGTTACTCTGAGAACATCGGATAGGTTACTCTGAGAACATCGGATAGGTTACACTGAGAACATCGGATAGGTTACACTGAGAACATCAGGTAGATTACACTGAGAACACCAGGTAGGTTACACTGAGAACATCAGGTAGGTTACACTGATAACACCAGGTAGGTTACACTGAGAACATCAGGTAGGTTACACTGAGAACATCAGGTAGGTTACACTGAGAACATCAGGTAGGTTACACTGAGAACACCAGGCAGGTTACACTGAGAACACCAGGTAGGTTACACTGAGAACACCAGGTAGGTTACACTGAGAACATCGGATAGGTTACACTGATAACACCAGGTAGGTTACACTGAGAACATCAGGTAGGTTACACTGAGAACATCAGGTAGGTTACACTGAGAACATCGGATAGGTTACACTGATAACACCAGGTAGGTTACACTGAGAACACCAGGTAGGTTACACTGAGAACACCAGGTAGGTTACACTGAGAACACCAGACAGGTTACACTGAGAACATCGGATAGGTTACACTGATAACACCAGGTAGGTTACACTGAGAACACCAGGTAGGTTACACTGAGAACATCAGGTAGGTTACACTGAGAACATCAGGTAGGTTACACTGATAACACCAGGCAGGTTACACTGAGAACACCAGGTAGGTTACACTGAGAACATCAGGCAGGTTACACTGAGAACATCGGATAGGTTACACTGATAACACCAGGTAGGTTACACTGAGAACATCAGGTAGGTTACACTGATAACACCAGGTAGGTTACACTGAGAACATCAGGTAGGTTACACTGAGAACATCAGGTAGGTTACACTGAGAACATCAGGTAGGTTACACTGAGAACATCAGGTAGGTTACACTGAGAACACCAGGCAGGTTACACTGAGAACATCGGGTAGGTTACACTGAGAACATCAGGTAGGTTACACAGGGTACTGTATTGTTTGGAGAATTGAAATCTACCAACAACTTCTATTACTGTGTTTTTATTACCATACATTTTAATTTTCATTGAATTCATTCAATATATTATATATTGTAGTACTAAAGTATGGTATGGTATAATACTCTGGAACATTCCACAGTTTGTAACTACACCTTATGGAGAGGTCTAATCATATGTAATATTTCCTTCCAATAGTGCATTTTATGGTTCGCCGATACAGACCCTCCGACAAGGATGCTGTCTTAACCCTGTTCAGTGATGGCATCTTGGAGCACATCAACCCTTCGTTCTACAACGCCATCAGCAACCCTGTCAATGTGGGTGTGACCCTGTTCCTTTCTGTGTCTGGGTACATGCTGGGAGGTGGGTCTACTCTCTGGGCCTTGCTGTTGGCTGGAGCCTGGGTAGGTCTGGTCTACTACTGCTGCAGCCAACTGTACACCAGCTTCGTCAGAGAGAGACTGCGCACGGACATGCAGGACATTCCAGGATGCTACCTGAGCCACCCCGATAACTGCTTCTGGGTGGCTGAGACTGAGGTCAACGGCAGGGTTGAGATTTTAGGTATGGTGGCCGTTGTGGCCAAAAAGGTGGTGGGCGGAAGAGACGGGGAGATGTGTGGTGAACTATTCAGAATGATTATATCGTCGAAGTGTCGTCGGACAGGGCTCGGTTCCAGGATGACCCAGACCGTTATTGACTTTTGTAAGGAGCGAGGGTTCTCTAAGGTCGTCCTGGAAACCAGTTCTACCCAGACTTCTGCAGTGGCCCTGTATAAGAAGGTAGGCTTCTCACACATCCTCTCACACACCAAGACGTACTCTCCTGAATGGATGACATTGGTATCCCGTGTCACCATTCTGAAGATGGAAAAAGTCATATAGGCCTTCCCTTGAATTTGAATTGTCAGTGTTAAGACGTGCAACTTTTTGGTTCTTTTTTGTTCTGAAGCACAGATTAAATGTATTTGATACAAGAATTTGATGCAAAACCGTAGGCCTATATTAGTGACTAGATCGAATAAGCAAAGGTATGAATATAAAATAGAAATAGTATATGTAGCCTATTAAAATATAATAATAATATGCCATTTAGCAGACGCTTTTATCCAAAGCGACTTACAGTCATGTGTGCATACATTTTTGTGTATGGGTGGTCCCGGGTATCGAACCCACTACCCTGGCGTTACAAGTGCCATGCTCTACCAGCTGAGCTACAGAGGACCACAGAATATGTGTTTTCCCCATTCAGTTTCACACTTGAGAGTCGCGACCCCCCCAAAAAAACTTTCTCATGGTGCAAAGCTATCATCAAGGCAAAGGGTGGCTACTTTGAAGAATCTCAAATGTAAAATATAAATATAAAATATATTTTGATTTGTTTAACACTTTTTTGGTTACTACAATATTCCATATGTGTTATTTCATAATTTTGATGTCTTCACTATTATTCAACAATGTATAAAATAGTAAAAATTAAGAAAAACCCTTGAATGAGTAGGTGTGTCCAAACTTTTGACAGGTACTGTATATATATATATATATATATATATATATATATATATATATATATACTATATGACCTATATGCACTATATATATACACTACCGTTCAAAAGTTTGGGGTCACTTAGAAATTTCCTTGTTTTCCATGAAAACATACATGAAATGAGTTTGGATAGGAAATATAGCAAAATGCATAGGAAATGTAGTCATTGACAAGGTTAGAAATAATGATTTTTAATTGAAATAATAATTGTTTCCTTCAAACTTTGCTTTCGTCAAAGAATCCTCCATTTGCAGCAATTAGAGTCTTGCAGACCTTTGGCATTCTAGTTGTCAATTTGTTGAGGTAATCTGAAGAGATTTCACCCCATGCTTCCTGAAGCACCTCCCACAAGTTGGATTGGCTTGATGGGCACTTTTAATGTACTATACGGTCAAGCTGCTCCCACAACAGCTCAATAGGGTTGAGATCCGGTGACTGTGCTGGCCACTCCATTATAGACAGAATACCAGCTGACTGCTTCTTCCCTAAATAGTTCTTGCATAGTTTGGAGCTGTGCTTTGGGTCATTGTCCTGTTGTAGGAGGAAATTGGCTCCAATCAAGCGCCGTCCACAGGGTATGGCATTGCAAAATGGAGTGATAGCCTTCCTTCTTCAAGATCCCTTTTACCCTGTACAAATCTCCCACTTTACCACCACCAAAGCACCCCCAGACCATCACATTGCCTCCACCATGCTTGACAGATGGCATCAAGTACTCCTCTAGCATCTTTTCATTTGGTCTGCGTCTCACAAATGTTCTTCTTTGTGATCCGAACACCTCAAACTTCGATTAGTCTGTCCATAACACTTTTTTCCAATCTTCCTCTGTCCAGTGTCTGTGTTCTTTTGCCCATCTTAATCTTTTCTTTTTATTGGCCAGTCTGAGATATGGCTTTTTCTTTGCAACTCTTCCTTAGAAGGTCAGCATCCCGGAGTCGCCTCTTCACTGTTGACGTTGACACTGGTGTTTTGCGGTACTATTTAATGAAGCTGCCAGTTTAGGACTTGTGAGGCATCTGTTTCTCAAACTAGACACTAATGTATTTGTCCTCTTGCTCAGTTGTGCACCGGGGCCTCCCACTCCTCTTTCTATTCTGGGAGTAGTACACAGCGTTGTACGACATCTTCAGTTTCTTGGCAATTTCTCACATGGAATAGCCTTCATTTCTCAGAACAAGAATAGACTGACGAGTTTCAGAAGAAAGTTATTTATTTCTGGCCATTTTGAGCCTGCAATCGAACCCACAATTGCTGTTGCTCCAGATACTAAACTAGTCTCAAGAAGGTCAGTTTTATTGCTTCTTTAATCAGCACAACAGTTTTCAGCTGTGCTAACATAATTGCAAAAGGGTTTTCTAATGATCAATTAGCCTTTTAAAATGATAAACTTGGATTAGCAAACACAACGTGCCATTGGAACACAGGACTGATGGTTGCTGATAATGGGCCTCTGTACGCCTATGTAGATATTCCATTAAAAATCAGCCGTTTCCAGCTACAATAGCCATTTACAACATTAACACTGTCTACTCTGTATTTCTGATCAATTTGATGTTATTTTAATGGACAAAATAATTGCTTTTCTTTCGAAAACAAGGACATTTCTAAGTGACACCAAACTTTTGAACGGTAGTGTGTGAATATATATATATATATATATACATATATATATACTATATGAGCTATATGTAATATATATGTATATATATATATATATATATATATACTATATGACCTGTATGTACTACATATACTATATGACCTACATGTACTCTTTATATATATATATATATATATGACCTATATGTACTTGTCCATTCCCTTTGTCATTGTTCTGATGAAGGCTATTGATAGCCGAAATATTAATATTTTAACTTGAATAAAACAATGAGTAAAACAAAAAAAAACTAACATGTTAGTGTTGTTCTTGTTGTCTATTCTTACTAGCACAAAATGTTCATCTAAATGTTGTCTCATAAGCATACAGTGAGGGAAAAAAGTATTTGATCCCCTGCTGATTTTGTATGTTTGCCCACTGACAAAGAAATGATCAGTCTATAATTTTAATGGTAGGTTTATTTGAACTGTGAGAGACAGAATAACAACAAAATAATCCAGAAAAACGCATGTCAAAAATGTTATAAATTGATTTGCATTTTAATGAGGGAAATAAGTATTTGACCCCTCTGCAAAACATGACTTGGTACTTGGTGGCAAAACCCTTGTTGGCAATCACAGAGGTCAGACGTTTCTTGTAGTTGGCCACCAGGTTTGCACACATCTCAGTAGGGATTTTGTCCCACTCCTCTTTGCAGATCTTCTCCAAGTCATTAAGGTTTCGAGGCTGACGTTTGGCAACTCGAACCTTTAGCTCCCTCCACAGATTTTCTATGGGATTAAGGTCTGGAGACTGGCTAGGCCACTCCAGGACCTTAATGTGCTTTTTCTTGAGCCACTCCTTTGTTGCCTTGGCCGTGTGTTTTGGGTCATTGTCATGCTTGAATACCCATCCACGACCCATTTTCAATGCCCTGGCTGAGGGAAGGAGGTTCTCATCCAAGATTTGACGGTACATGGCCCCGTCCATCGTCCCTTTGATGCGGTGAAGTTGTCCTGTCCCCTTAGCAGAAAAACACCCCCAAAGCATAATGTTTCCACCTCCATGTTTGACGGTGGGGATGGTGTTCTTGGGGTCATAGGCAGCATTCCTCCTCCAAACACGGCGAGTTGAGTTGATGCCAAAGAGCTCCATTTTGGTCTCATCTGACCACAACACTTTCACCCTGTTCTCCTCTGAATCATTCAGATGTTCATTGGCAAACTTCAGACGGCCCTGTATATGTGCTTTCTTGAGCAGGGGGACCTTGCGGGCGCTGCAGGATTTCAGTCCTTCATGGCGTAGTGTGTTACCAATTGTTTTCTTGGTGACTATGGTCCCAGCTGCCTTGAGCTCATTGACAAGATCCTCCCGTGTAGTTCTGGGCTGATTCCGCACCGTTCTCATGATCATTACAACTCCACGAGGTGAGATCTTGCATGGAGCTCCAGGCAGAGGGAGATTGACAGTTATTTTGTGTTTCTTCCATTTGCGAATAATCGCACCAACTGTTGTCACCTTCTCACCAAGCTGCTTGGCGATGGTCTTGTAGCCCATTCCAGCCTTGTGTAGCTCTACAATCTTGTCCCTGACATCCTTGGAGAGCTCTTTGGTCTGGTGGAGAGTTTGGAATCTGATTGATTGATTGCTTCTGTGGACAGGTGTCTTTTATACAGGGAACAAGCTGAGATTAGGAGCACTCCCTTTAAGAGCGTGCTCCTAATCTCAGCTCGTTACCTGTATAAAAGACACCTGGGAGCCAGAAATCTTTTTGATTGAGAGGGGGTAAAATACTTATTTCCCTCATTAAAATTCAAATCAATTTATAACATTTTTGGCATGCGTTTTTCTGGTTTATTTTGTTGTTATTCTGTCTCTCACTGTTCAAATAAACCTACCATTAAAATTATAGACTGATCATTTCTTTGTCAGTGGGCAAACGTACAAAATCAGCAGGGGATCAAATACTTTTTTCTCTCACTGTATGTCATGCTATATAAGGAATTATAAACTGGGTGGTTTGAGCCCTGAATTCGGATTGGCTAAAAGCCATGCTATATAAACAATGATAAAAGGCGCCAGATGTAAGGACATGTATAAAGTAGTATGATGTTGCTTTTAAATCTATGCAGTCCTTATGAAGACATTCTGGATGCTTTATAAAGCTTTTGTAACCTGCTGTTCGTTTAAAGTGGTACCAAAGTTTTGTTGTCTTGTGAATTTTTGATTTGTCCCATGTGAGTAATTTATGATCACGAAGGTTCATATTTAGATGTAGAGTGATGTGACTGCATTGATCAAATCAAATCAAATGTTATTTGTCACACGCGCCGAATACAACAGGTGTAGACCTTACCATGAAATGCTTACTTACAAGCCCTTAACGAAAAAAGTTACAATAAAATAACAATAACGAGGCTATATATAGGGGTTCCGGTACCGAGTCAATGTGCGTTGGTACAGGTTAGTCAAGGTAATTGAGGTAATATGCAGTGTAAAAGAGGGGGGAGGGACAATGCAAATAGTCCGGGTAGCCATTTGATTAGCTCTTCAGAAGTCTTATGGCTTGGGGGTAGAAGCTGTTAAGAAGCCTTTTGGACCGAGACTTGGCGCTCCGGTACCGCTTGCTGTGGGGTAGCAGAGAGAACATTCTATGACTAGGGTGGCTGGAGTCTTTGGCAATTTTTGGACCTTCCTCTGACACCGCCTGGTATAGAGGTCCTGGATGGCAGGAAGTTTGGCCCCAGGGATGTACTGGGTCGTACGCACTACCCTCTGTAGCGCCTTGTGGTCGGAGGCCTAGCAGTTGCCATACCAGGCGGTGATGCAACCAGTCAGGATGCTCTCGATGGTGCAGCTAAATAACTTTTTGAAGATCCGAGGACCCATGCCAAATCTTTTCAGTCTCCTGATGGGGAATAGGCATTGTCGTGCCCTCTTCATGACTGTCTTGGTGTGTTTGGACCATGATAGTTTGTTGGTGATGTGGACATCAAGGAACTTGAAGCTCTCAACCTGCTCCACAACAGCCCCATCGATGAGAATGGGGGTGTGCTCGGCCCTCCTTTTCCTGTAGTCCACAATCATCTCCTTTGTCTTGATCTTGTTGAGGGAGAGGTTGTTGTCCTGGCAACACACTGCCAGGTCTCTGACCACCTCCCAATAGGGTTTCTCATTGTTGTCGTTGATCAGGCCTGTCGGTAATCACAATCGTTGTCGGTGATCACAATGCCACTTTCCAACATCTTTGCATCAGCTTTTTGTTTATGCTCTCTGAGTTTCTGTATCATAACATAGCTAGAAATAGCATAACATATTTTCTCTCTTGTGAAATGCAAGATACAGAAACACTTTTGAAATGCTTTTAAAAACGTGATTTGCCTTTGGGAATAAATTCTGTGAGTGACATCAACATCATTTTCTATCATTGGAAAGGGTCTATTACACACCCAAATAACAAACTAGAACTATTTATCAACAGAGTCCTTGTGTGCATTCCAAATAGCAGCTTATTCACTACAGATGTAGGATCTTAATTTGAGCAAGTTTGCTACAGCAGGAAAATAATCCTGCAGCAAAAGGAAATGTGAATTATTATGTGTAATTACACTGAGTATACAAAACATTAAGAAAACCTGCTCTTTCCAAGACATAGATTGACCAGGTGAAGTTTACATACAATTAGGTTGGAGTCATTGAAACTTGTTTTTCAACCACTCCACATATTTCTTGTTAACAAACTATAGTTTTGGCAAGTCGGTTAGGACATCTACTTTGTGCATGACAAAAAAATGGTAGACCTCCACAAGTCTGGTTCATCCTTGGGAGTAATTTCCAAACGCCTGAAGGTACCACGTTCATCTGTACAAACAATAGTAAGCAAGTATAAACACCATGGGACCACGCAGCAGTCATACCGCTCAGGAAGGAGACACGTTCTGTCTCCTAGAGATTAATGTACTTTGGTGCGAAAAGTGCGAATCAATCCCAGAACAACAGCAAAGGACCTTGTGAAGATGCTGGAGGAAACAGGTACAAAAGTATCTACAGTGGGGGAAAAAAGTATTTAGTCAGCCACCAATTGTGCAAGTTCTCCCACTTAAAAAGATGAGAGAGGCCTGTAATTTTCATCAGAGGTACACGTCAACTATGACAGACAAATTGAGAAAAAAAATTCCACAATATCACATTGTAGGATTTTTTATGAATTTATTTGCAAATTATGGTGGAAAATAAGTATTTGGTCACCTACAAACAAGCAAGATTTCTGGCTCTCACAGACCTGTAACTTCTTCTTTAAGAGGCTCCTCTGTCCTCCACTCGTTACCTGTATTAATGGCACCTGTTTGAACTTGTTATCAGTATAAAAGACACCTGTCCACAACCTCAAACAGTCACACTCCAAACTCCACTATGGCCAAGACCAAAGAGCTGTCAAAGGACACCAGAAACAAAATTGTAGACCTGCACCAGGCTGGAAAGACTGAATCTGCAATAGGTAAGCAGCTTAGTTTGAAGAAATCAACTGTGGGAGCAATTATTAGGAAATGGAAGACATACAAGACCACTGATAATCTCCCTCGATCTTGGGCTCCACGCAAGATCTCACCCCGTGGGGTCAAAATGATCACAAGAACGGTGAGCAAAAATCCCAGAACCACTCGGGGGGACCTAGTGAATGACCTGCAGAGAGCTGGGACCAAAGTAACAAAGCCTACCATCAGTAACACACTACGCCGCCAGGGACTCAAATCATGCAGTGCCAGACGTGTCCCCCTGCTTAAGCCAGTACATGTCCAGGCCCGTCTGAAGTTTGCTAGAGTGCATTTGGATGATCCAGAAGAGGATTGGGAGAATGTCATATGGTCAGATGAAACCAAAATAGAACTTTTTGGTAAAAACTAAACTCGTCGTGTTTGGAGGACAAAGAATGCTGAGTTGCATCCAAAGAACACCATACCTTTCAGCATGACAATGATCCCAAACACACCGCCCGGGCAATGAAGGAGTGGCTTCGTAAGAAGCATTTCAAGGTCCTGGAGTGGCCTAGCCAGTCTCCAGATCTCAACCCCATAGAAAATCTTTGGAAGGAGTTGAAAGTCCGTGTTGCCCAGCGACAGCCCCAAAACATCACTGTTCTAGAGGAGATCTGCATGGAGGAATGGGCCAAAATACCAGCAACATATGTGAAAACCTTGTGAAGACTTACAGAAAACGTTTGACCTGTGTCATTGCCAACAAAGGGTATATAACAAAGTATTGAGAAACTTTTGTTATTGACCAAATACTTATTTTCCTCCATAATTTGCAAATAAATTCATAAAATATCATACAATGTGATTTTCAGGATTTATTTTCCTCATTTTGTCTGTCATAGTTGACGTGTACCTATGATGAAAATTACAGGCCTCTCTCATCTTTTTAAGTGGGAGAACTTGCACAATTGGTGGCTGACTAAATACTTTTTTTCCCCACTGTATATCCACAGTAAAACGAGTCCTATATCGACATAACCTGAAAGGCCGCTCAGCAAGGAAGAAGCCACTGCTCCAAAACTAGACCTCATGTGGCTGGAGTGTGTCACCTCTGCAAGGTGTCGAAAGCTGTCGGATGCTGACCCATGTTTACTCCAATGCTTCCCACAGTTGTGTAAAGTTGGCTGGATGTCCTTTGGGTGGTGGACCATTCTTGTGACACACGGGAAACTGTTGAGCGTGAAAAACGCAGCAGCGTTGCAGTTCTTGAAAAACGCAGCAGCGTTGCAGTTCTTGAAAAACTCAAACCGGTGCGCCTGCCACCTACTACCGTACCCCGCTCAAAGGCATTTACATTTTTTGTCTTGCCCATTCACCCTCTGAATGGCACACACACACAATCCATGTCTCGATTGTCTCGAGGCTTAAAAATCCTCCTTAATTCCTCAAATGACTAGTAGCCTCATGGGTGGAATGTTATTAATATTTTTCATAATTAATAAACATTATTTAAAGTGTTTCTATGTCAAACGATGTTGTTATATTTCAGTCTTCTGTGATGTATATAAAGTGTAATATTGGGATATAAACAGAAAATGTAATACATTTCAACTCTATATCTGACATAGTAAACGTGTCTTCTTTTTTTAAGCCCATAACCATGTGTGTGAGGTGTATACTTTTGTTTCAAAGTAGATTTGTTTAAGACTATCAAGAAACACTGTTTGACCCTGATTTAGCCCTGCAGTAAAAAATGAACCTGTCTCCTCCCCTTCATCTAAACTGATTGACGTAGCTTTAACAGGTGAAATCAATAAGGGATCACAGCTTTCACCTGGATTCACCTGGTCAGTCTATGTCATGGAAAGAGCAGGTGTTCCTAATGTTTTATACACTCAGTGTATATAAGTATTCTCACTGAGAGATCATGTTAGTCTGCATACCTCTCCCCTGTCAGATCCATTGTTTCTCTCTGGATAGTATGTATAGTATGTTGTCAATCTTGTGCTGTTTGCCGGAGGACGAGGCATTACCACTAGGCCAGCCAGATCACAATCTTGGTTTTAATGTTTCGTCACCATCATTCACCAAAGAAGCCTAATTGAATCTTAAATCACACTAAATTAGCCTTTTTCTTGCTGTTGTTGGTGAGACAAGTCGTTAATTGAAACGGGAAGTTTTAAGTATCCACCATAAATGTAAGCTTGAATGTATTGTCCGTCTAATAGTGAGACGTCCAGATTTTTCCTCTGTGTTAGGCACTTACAGATTCTGGTGTATTACGAAGACTCACAGATCAGTTCTCTCTGCTCTATACATACATTAGAAGGTATTCATCTTTGACGCCTATGGCAAACAATGGGAACTAAAGGCTAGTCTTTATAATCATTTTTAATAACTCATTTATTAACATTAATTAACATTAATAAATTCAACAGTAATGTACAGGTAACTGCCAAAATAAAAGAAACACCAACATAAAGTGTCTTAATAGGGCGCTGGGCAACCACGAGCCGCCAGAATAGCTTCAATGCACCTTGGCATTGATGCTACAAGTGTACACCATTCTTCCATGAAAATTTGTGTTTATGGTGGTGGAAAACGCTGTCTCAGGCGCTGCAGAATCTCCCATAAGTGTTCAATTGGGTTGAGACACACACCCTTTAAACCCCCTATGCTCCTTTGAGACCCCTCTTTCAAAGTCACTGAGATCTCTTCTTCTAGCCATGGTAGCTAACATAATGGGCAACTGGGCATTTTTACACATGATCCTAAGCATGATGAGATCTTAATTAACTCAGGAACCACACCTGTGTGGAAGTACCTGCTTTCAATATACTTTGTATCCCTCAATTACTCAATCGTTTCCTTTATTTTGGCAGTTACCTGTACTATTAAAAGCAAAAACTAATATTCACACAAACTATCAAAATGCAAAAAGCAGACAAAAATTGATAACTTCGATAGTTTTAACTGAAAATATACTGAAGGATTCCAGTACATAAATATGTAGGCCTTTGTGTTTATGTAATTCCTTCATATCTGAACATTGTTTTCAAAAAAACAACTATGACCATCAAACTGATATACAGTGAATATATTTAATCTGATTCCAAATGGGATCAAGGATTGTGACTGGACCGTCAGCAGTGTCAGCACAGAGACCAAGGTCTTGTAGACTCTCTGGTTCTCCTCTCTGAGCCTTACTTCCTCGCATCCTAAATGGAGATGAAACACATTTTAAGGGTCATTCGATTGAAGGTGCATTAACAAACAAAAAAAGACAATGGAAGTGAGAATGCACAATGACTGCTGATACGTAATGTTTTAATACACATGGATAAGCAGTAGGTGGCAGAGTTGGGCTCAAGTTCTATCTCATTTCACAAGTGTCTCAGAGTACGAGTGTGATCAAGGATCAGCCCCCCTGTCCATAATCTGATGAATTATGAAAACATCTAACAGTCAAAACTGATCCAAGGTCAGCACTCCTGTGCAGTATACTCTGAGACACATTTTGAATATGGGCCTAGACAGGGTCGGATTACAGCATTTGGGACCCCTGGGCAAAAACACATGTCTTTATTTTTTTTAGATTTTTTCTGTTTGTTTTGCCATGGTGCAGAGAGAACTGTGCAGTTTTATAATGCTATTCTACACATTTTGCCATGGTGCAGAGAGAAAACTGTGCAGTTTTATAATGCTATTCTACACAAGAGAACATTGTGCAGTTTTAAAGCTAATTTCCTGCAATTTTACACATTTTGCTATCATCTGCTATCTGGGGGCCCCCCGACTTCCAACCCTCCAGGGTTGGGGCCCCCCTGGAGGTCGGGGGCCACGGGGCACTTGCCCTGAGTACCCATTCAATAATCCGTCCCTGGGCCTAGAGGAGATTTGTCTTGATTGTGTCATGCTTGACTGCATTATTATGGGGAGATTACAGAAATTAAACTGGGCAGTGTTGTGTACAGGCACAATAAGACTGTATGTGAATCAGACCTGGGTTCAAATACTTTAGCTGTGCTTGATAGAGTTTTGCCTGTTGCAATGGAGCCAACATTACAAAAGTCCCAAAAGTGCAAACCCCGCCCACCTGGCTGAAAGTATTTTAAAGACTTCAAATAGCATTTGAACCCAGGTGTGATGGGAAAGTGGTTAACGTACACAGCATAGCCAGTCCTCTTGCTCCACAGTGGCTAACACCGCTGCATTCACTCTATGATAGATCAGCTCTCCCTGTAGTGTCTGAAAAGTGAAGAGTCCCTCTCCAGTGTCACACATCCTGTGGAAAATACATTTGACCGTTAATTCTGTGAATGTCCTATGAAAAATGTATTTGGTACAGACTCCCAATAGTCACTTACACTTTCAAATAACTATGATAAATAAGCATGAGCCAACATTGATAAATACTATACTGATAATACATGATTATTACATTATTTGTAAACATTTCTAAGCATTACAATCCATAAGCATTTATAACATTTATTATAATTTATAAAGCATACAATCGCTTATTGACTAAAGATATTATTTAGTGTAACCCAAAGGTGTTTCATAATCTTAGATAACTCCCTGTCACTTTCCCTTGAGGACTTCTGACTGGTCAAAGGACTGGATAGGTATCAACCGTCTTACTTTCACCTATTAAGCCATTTCAGATCAGCCGTTTCAGATCAGCTGTTTCAGATCAGCTGTTTCAGATCAGCTGTTTCAGATCAGCCATTTCAGATCAGCCGTTTCAGATCAGCCGTTTCAGATCAGCCATTTCAGATCAGCTGTTTCAGATCAGCCATTTCAGATCAGCCGTTTCAGATCAGCCATTTCAGATCAGCCGTTTCAGATCAGCCGTTTCAGAGCAGCCGTTTCAGATCAGCTGTTTCAGATCAGCCGTTTCAGATCAGCCGTTTCAGAGCAGCCGTTTCAGATCAGCCGTTTCAGAGCAGCTGTTTCAGATCAGCCGTTTCAGATCAGCCGTTTCAGATCAGCCGTTTCAGATCAGCCGTTTCAGATCAGCCATTTCAGATCAGCCGTTTCAGATCAGCCATTTCAGATCAGCCGTTTCAGATCAGCTGTTTCAGATCAGCCGTTTCAGAGCAGCCGTTTCAGATCAGCTGTTTCAGATCAGCCGTTTCAGATCAGCTGTTTCAGATCAGCCGTTTCAGAGCAGTGATCACTGGTAATGGAGTAGAGCAGGGTGAATGGAGGGAAGTCCATTGGAATGGAGGTTAGGGCTTTGTCCAAATTATCTCTCCTTCCTCCCAAAGAATGCAGTTAAAATGTATATAGTATGTATAAGAATGAAGTTGAGGCGTAAGCATTGTTGTTCACTAGTTTACTCCAATTAGGGAAGGGATGGTGGGGTTGGAAAGTAATAAAGGGAAATATATATATTTTTAAAGGATATGTATGTATATATATATGTATGTATATGCATATATGTATGTATGTATGTGTATGTATGTATGTATGTGTATGTATGTATGTATGTATGTATGTATGTGTATATATGTATGTATGTGTATGTATGTATGTATGTGTATGTATGTATGTATGTGTATATATATATATATATATATATATATATATGCGAGAAAAAAAGAAGAAAAAAAAAACATATGGGGGATTGGAAGTGATGCAGACAATTACATTGATGGAAGTTACAATCTATCTGCAATATTAAAGCCGATATACCCCCTAAAAAAATTAAAAATAATAATAAATAAAAGTGCACTTATCAATTCTCTTCAATGATTAGAAATGAAATGACTGGTATAATAAATATGGCTATTCCCACTAGCCCATGTGCACACTTCAGGAGAAAGGAGATATTATTGGGACGCACCCAAAGAGTCCTAGGACAGGGTATGAACCCTGCATCAACCCTGCCCCCAAGTGGTATACTGGACACACCTCTTGGTCTATGAGGTCACTTACGTATTTAGATGTATGATGTATGGCTCTGATTCTTAGTCAACATACAGTATCCAGACAGCTACAAACTATATTGACTTGGTTATACTGTATATACATTACCTTGGTTAGTACAATTCTTATCAAGTGGTTTTCTACCCAGATCCTCACCTCCCAGCTTCGAATGTGAACCAGTTTTGACCCCGACCGTAACGGCGAAGTGACCGCAGTGGCCAGGATGTGATTTTGAGACAAGGGTTCTGGGTGTCCCACAGCAAGAGAGTGTCACAAGTGATCTGAAGATTACATTCCCCATTGAAATCCATACACTGTGACGGCTTCATGAATACGTGGAACTGCTCTGGAAAAGAGAACAGAATACATTGATAAACCAGAGAAAAAGGTGTGATCTGTGATATTTATTTTGCTAGTTTAAACTAATACAATTGAAGAATGTTACTTATATTATGTAATCTATAGTTTCAAAATATGGTTAAATATTTATAGCTCCTATGAATGTGAGAGTGCTTCCTTTATTTAGAGCCCCTTCCCTCAGCTTTCTATCACGCCAAATGTAGTCGGTTTATTGTTTTTTCAGATGACAGATTGGGCCTTTAAAGCATGTTGCTCGTATTTTTCGACCCCAGTTATTCAAAGCATTTGATCAGTATAGTAGCTTGTGTCATTACTGGAATATTATACGAATGTGGTCTATACCTCTGTGATCTCGATGCAGGTTCATGTTAAGTAGGACTGGCTCCTCCAAGGTTAGGTCAGTCATTCTGGTCTCCAGACATTCCATTCGTAGCACTTTGCACCATTCCTTGGCGTCCAACTCTGTTATGAGTTGTTGAAAGAAACACTTTTAGAATGTGTTATACTTGTAAAAAAAAATACAGTGCCTTGCAAAAGTATTCATCCCCCTTGCCGTTTTTCCTATTTTGTTGCATTACAACCTGTAATTTAAATTGATTTTTATTTGGATTATGTGCTCAATTGGTGAAGTGAAATGAAAAAATTAATGTGTTTCAAAAAATTCAAAAAAATAAATAACAGAAAAGTGGTGCGTGCATATGTATTCACCCCCTTTGCTATGAAGCCCCTAAATAAGATCTGGTGCGACCAATTACCTTCAGAAGTCACATAATTAGTTAAATAAAGTCCCATGTCACATGATCTCAGTATATATACACCTGTTCTGAAAGGCCCCAGAGTCTGCAACACCACTAAGCAAGGGGCACCACCAAACAAGCGGCACCATGAAGACCAAGGAGCTCTCCAAACAGGTCAGGGACAAAGTTGTGGAGAAGTACAGATCAGGGTTGGGTTATAAGAAAATATCCGAAACTTTGAACATCCCACGGAGCACCATTTAATCCATTATTAAAAAATGGAAAGAATATGGCACCACAACAAACCTGCCAAGAGAGGGCCGCCCACCAAAACTCACGGACCAGGCAAGGAGGGCATTAATCAGAGAGGCAACAAAGAGACCAAAGATAACCCTGAAGGAGCTGCAAAGCTCCACAGTGGAGATTGGAGTATCTGTCCATAGGACCACTTTAAGCCGTACACTTCACAGAGCTGGGCTTTACGGAAGAGTGGCAAGAAAAAAAAACATTGCTTAAAGAAAAAAATAAGCAAACACGTTTGGTGTTCGCCAAAACCATGTGGGAGACTCCCCAAACATATGGAAGAAGGTACTCTGGTCACATTAGACTAAAATTGAGCTTTTTGGCCATCAAGGAAAACGCCATGTCTGGTGCAAACCCAATACATCTCTTCAACCCGAGAACACCATCCCCATAGTGAAGCATGGTGGTGGCAGCATCATGCGGTGGGGATGTTTTTCATCGGCTGGGTCTGGGAAACTGGTCAGAATTGAAGGAATGATGGATGGCGCTAAACACAGGGAAATTCTTGAGAGAAACCTGTTTCAGTCTTCCAGAGATTTGAGAATGGGACGGAGGTTCATCTTCCAGCAGGACAATGACCCTAAGCATACTGCTAAAGCAACACTGAAGTGGTTTAAGGGGAAACATTTAAATGTCTTGGAATGGCCTAGTCAAAGCCCAGACCTCAATCCAATTGAGAATCTGTGGTATGACTTAAAGATTGCTGTACACCAGCGGAACCCATCCAACTTGAAGGAGCTGGAGCAGTTTTGCCTTGAAGAATGGGCAAAAATCCCAGTGGCTAGATGTGCCAAGCTTATAGAGACATACCCTAAGAGACTTGCAGCTGTAATTCCTGCAAAAAGTGGCTCTACAAAGTATAGACTTTGAGGGGGTGAATAGTTATGCACGCTCAAGTTTTCAGTTTTTTTGTCTTATTTCTTGTTTGTTTCACAAAAAAATATATTTTACATCTTCAAAGTGGTAGGCATGTTGTGTAAATCAAATGATACAAACCCCCCCAAAAATCAATTTTAATTCCAGGTTGTAAGGCAACAAAATAGGAAGAATGCCAAGGGGGGTGAATACTTTCGCAAGCCACTGTATATATATTTGTAGTTAGTTATGTTGACAAAATAAGTTAGTTAATGTCAGCTCAAGTCAACTCAAGTCAAGTCAACTCAATTCAGTTCAATTCAATACAACATTAAGTTAATGTGTCCCAAACTCACCTGAATCACATGCAAAAGCCTTTGGTGAGTCGTCATTGAAAGTCAGGACCACCGCGTGTTTCTTTTTATCCCGTGGGGGTCTGGTAACATTTCTTATTTTTGTGAGGTCTGTCACCTGAAAAGATATAGGACAAATGGACACAATAATGGCCCTGTTTGTTGCTCCCAAAAGGGTTCTTTAATAATAAAGCTTTCATTATATAATAACAACACTTCTACCAACACAGTCTTTGTCAGGTTGTTGAAACTATAGAATTACATATAAAACTTTTAATAGGATCTCTGTCGTTGAAACATAGTTATTTCATCTCTAAAGCTACAAAGCTATATGTCAATTTAACCTCACAGCAAGCAAACAGTGAGCGAATCCTCTTTATACTTCTACATCTATATCTCTTATCGTTTGTTGTCGAGACCCTGTGGTACATTTGAGTGTGCAATGACTCTCATTTTCACAAATCAACAAAATAACCACTACTTTCGATGTCATTGATAATCATGGGGGAAAAAACAACACAATCTCCAAAGAAAACGCCAGTGGTACCACTCCAGTATTTGAATTTGATTGCTTACTTTGTGGTGACAATGGCAGTTAGCCGCTTGTTCATTTGAGAACCTCTCCAATCGCTTTGCCCCTTTACTGGAGCCTCTTCTTAGAACAAGCCAGCACCGCCGATAGATCTGGACATACGAGAGAATGATTGAGAAAAGAGTTGACAGCGCGTTCATCTACTCTGGGTCCATTGATTTAGATTAAATTGGTCTCAGGCTGGTTTGAAAGCATGCACTTACCCATAAATGCTTGCTGCGAAAATACACATATCCCTGTTTAACAATGTCATTAAAACACAAATCCATTGCTTGAACCCCCATCAGACACTCATGCTTGGGAGAAACTGGCACATATAAGTTCCCTTAATCTCTTTATCAGTTGTCTCCCGTCTCTGATTTGACAATACAAAGCAGTGTAACGCAAGAGTATTGCTATAGCCTGATGCTCATGGGACTATTATGGGACTGATCTCCTTCTGTGATGTAGATATTATGGGTGAGGCGGTTGGGTGGGGGGGGGGGGGGGGGGGGGGTGAGAGAGAGAGAGAGAGAGACACAGTGAGTCTGAAGTTTATATTCGGTAGGGAGGGATCTAGTCCAAAGAACCAGGATTCTCACAGGACCCCTAATTAGTAGCCTGTCAACCTTGAGACTTACATATAAATATAAACATAAATAAATATATCCTCGATCAAACCCTGTCTCTGTCTGTTCTCCTATTTATGTTTACCGTGTTAGAAGCAACTCTTCCAACCGTTGCTACGGCATACTCTAGCCTCCTCAAATTCAACTCTGGACTTAGAAGCCAGATCCACTGCCTTTTATTTTTTTATACAGTACCAGTCAAAAGTTTGGACACACCTACTCATTCCAGGGTTTTTCTTTATTTTTTACTATTTTTTGCATTGTAGAATAATAGTGAAGACATCAAAACTATGAAATAACACAAATGGAATCATGTAGTAACCAAAAAAGTGTTAAACAAATCAAAATATATTTTATATTTGAGATTCTTCAAATAGCCACCCTTTGCCTTGATGACAGCTTTGCACACTATTGTCATTCTCTCAACCAGCCTCATGAGGTAGTCACCTGGAATGCATTTCAATTAATAGGTGTGCCTTGTTAAAAGTTTTTTGTGGAATTTCTTTCCTTCTTAATGCGTTTGAGCCAATCAGTTGTGTTGTGACAAGGTAGAGGGGGTATACAGAAGATAGCCCTATTTGGTAAAAGACCAAGTCCATATTATGGCAAGAACAGCTCAAATAATCAAAGAGAAACAACAGTCCATCATTACTTTAAGACATGAAGGTCGGTCAATCCGGAAAATGAGAAGAACTTCAAGTGCAGTCGCAAAAACCATCAAGCGCTATGATGAAACTGGCACTCATGAGGACCGCCACAGGAAAGGAAGACCCAGAGTTACCTCTGCTGCAGAGGATAAGTTCATTAGAGTTACCAGCCTCAGAAATTGCAGCCCAAATAAGTGCATCACAGAGTTCAAGTAACAGACACATCTCAACATCAACTGTTCAGAGGAGACTGCGTGAATCAGGCCTTCATGGTCGAATTGCTGCAAAGAAACCACTACTAAAGGACACCAATAAGAAGAAGAGACTTGCTTGTGCCAAGAAACACGAGCAATCGACATTAGACTGGTGGAAATCTGTCCTTTGGTCTGATGAGTCCAAATAGGAGATTTTTGGTTCCAACCCCTGTGTCTTCGTGAGACGCAGTGTAGGTGAACGTATGATCTCCGCATGTGAAGTTCCCACCGTGAAGCATGGAGGAGGTGTGATGGTGCTTTGCTGGTGACACTGTCTGTGATTTACATTTTAGTCATTTAGCAGACGCTCTTATCCAGAGCGACTTACAGTTAGTGAGTGCATACATTTTTCATACTGGCCCCCCGTGGGAAATGAACCCACAACCCTGCCGTTGCAAGCGCCATGCTCTACCAACTGAGCTACAGGATTTATTTAGAATTCAATGTACACTTAACCAGCATGGCTACCACAGCATTCTGCAGCGAAACGCCATCCCATCTGGTTTGGGCTTAGTGGGACAATCATGTTTTTCAACAGGACAATGACCCAACACACCTCCAGGCTGTGTAAGGGCTATTTGACCAAGAAGGAGAGTGATGGAGTGCTGCATCAGATGACCTGGCCTCCACAATCCCCCAACCTCAACCAAATTGAGATGGTTTGGGATGAGTCGGACGGCAGAGTGAAGGAAAAGCAGCCAACAAGTGCTCAGCATATGTGGGAACTCCTTCAAGACTGTTGGAAAAGCATTCCAGGTGAAGCTGGTTGAGAGAATGCCAAGAGTGTGCAAAGCTGTCATCAAGGCAAAGGGTGCTATTTGAAGAATCTCAAATCTCAATATATATTTGTATTTGTTTAACACTTTTTGGGTTACTACATGATTCCATATGTGTTATTTCATAGTTTTGATGTCTTCACTATTATTCTACAATGTAAACATTTTAAAAAATTAAGAAAGGCCCTTGAATGAGTAGGTGTGTCCAAACTTTTGACTGGTACTGTATGTATATTTTTTTAACCCTACCACCCTTCCCCTAATTGGAGTAAACTAATGGACAAAAACACTTAGGCTTCTACATCCAGCTTCTTTGAACAACTTAAAGTTATATAAAGTGCCTTCGGAAAGTATTCAGACCCCTTGACTTTTTCCACATTTTGTTACGTTACATCCTTAGTACGTCTGAATACTTTCCGAATGCACTGTACGGACACTGACATTAATTATCTTTTGCTTGTTTTTATTCCCATCCTTGAGCTAACCTCAACCCCTCCCATCTATCTCTGAAGACCATCCAGTTTTGATTTCTATTTGCCATATATTTTTCAACTGTGCTGTGATGTTTCACAAAAGTTCTGAACCTTTCTATTCTCATAGTTTCTACAGATTGTAAAAAATCTAAGAATATTATTATATTATTGATCGATTAACTATGACTTTTCAGATCACCCAGCAGTGCTATTGGCAGAGTTAGCTCCAGGTAAATGTTGCAATTCTTCAGCCATTCCTGAACCTGCGACCAAAAACAAGCTACATATGGACAGTACCAAAACAAATGATCTAATGATTCTGTCTCTTCGCAGCAAAATCAGCAGAGCTGGGATGGTTGTATCCCACATATATTGCAAGAATTTTGTATAATAATTTAAATTGAAAAACTCTACGTTTTGTGTTTCCACTGCCTTTTTTCATTGTTCCCCTCTAATCAGGGACTGATTTAGACCTGGGACACCAATTCATTATCAAGTAGAACAGAAAAACAGCCGGTTCCGGACCTCTTAGGGTAAGAGTTGAATATCCCTGCTTTAGACTATACAACCCGTTCCCAAGCAGAACTACCCCTAATGCAGACTTAGATTATGATCTAATTTGTTATCCTTGTTTTGAACAGGACTACCCCTAATGCAGACTTAGAATATTACCTAATTTGTTATCCTTGTTTTTAACACGCACAGTCATCCATACAATAAATCTCTTCAGACCACATGTCATTCCAACTCTCCAATGAAATGAGAAAATAAACTGTACACATTCCTTTACACATGCTTGAAATTGAATAAGGACTACCAATGCAGTATTACTTACAGTTATTCTAAGAACAGCCCCTAATACGCAGGCTTATGTCCCCAGGGCGTGAGGTTCACAAAGTCCTATTTAGTAGGCAGGGTCATCAATTGCTAATGCTAATTCAAGACCTGTGGCCTCCTGCTACCACTACTGCCGACATCAGCTAACTGGGAGGAACATTTACACACATACCGACGACACGTGCAGTCCTCTGGCGTGGAGGGTATAAACAGCATTGATGCCGTGCACTCAACAACTCTTAAAATACAGACTTTTCATTCTCACTTCCTATGACTATAACTTATGAAGGCTTTATGAAGCTTCGTAAGTCCTTTAAAAAGGCCTACATAGATGCTTCACAAATCATTTATAAGAAACAATGATCATACTATATATATATAAACCCACGTTTAGCAAAGCACAGATATATGACATTAAAACTTGAAACTAAGGACTTAGATAGTTTACGTCTGTTAATAAATTGTTTGTGTGGCATCTACACAGGCTTTATAAAGGCCTTATGAAGGTTTCATCTAGCTAAAATGTATGCACAATGATGATGAAAACACATAATAGGCTATATTAATATGCATTTATTAGCAGATAACTAGTCATGAAGTCATAGGCTTTGTCCAGAGTCTCTTCCAGACTATTTTCCAGTAGTCTTTTTGAGTAAGCAAGAATAGGAGATGGCCTATGCTCCCAAAGGAGTGATGCGCCTAAGCAAGTAAGTAGGAAAGTAAGAATAGAACGTTTTGTAGTATGTGACATTTCTCAACTCTGAGTGCGCTTTAAATGTCAGTATGCCATACTCATTTATGCTTTTCATCTAGTAAGAATTGTCTGCACACTACTGAGGTCCCATGTAGCTCAGTTGGTAGAGCATGGTGCTTGCAGCAATGTGGTTGTGGGTTTGATTCCCACGGGGGACCAGTAAGAGAAAACATTTATGTACTCACTGCTGTAAGTCACTCTGGATAAGATGTGTTTGACAACAGCTGATAATCAGAAAAGGGGACAATTTTATTTAACCAGTAGTCAGCATCTACACATAACACAACACAATACAATAGAATACAATACAATACAATACAATAAAACACAACAATACAATACAATACAATACAATACAACACAATACAATAGAATACAACACTATACAATACAACACTATACAATACAACACAACACAATACAATGCAATACAATAGATACAATACAATAAAACACAATACAACAACGCAATGCAATACAACACAGTACAATACATTAAAAACAATCACATTTTCCTCTATCAGAGCTTTAAACTCCACAGGCGATTCCCTCTCCTCCAGTTTTAGTCTTGTTCAGCTCGTTCCAAGACCAAGGAGCATTATAGAGAATGATATTTTTTTCCATTTCAGTCGTAGCCTTAGCAACAGTGAAAGATAGTAGCAGCTGAGAACAGACACTGTTAGTGAGGAGCACAGATAAGTAGGCAATAATCCAAGCACTGCTTTGTCCACAAAGATGTAACGGTGTTTCAGCCTTCTTCTAGGAAGGGAGGGCCACCTCACCATGTCGTATAGATCACAGTGATGGGTGAGTGGTCTTGCATTGTGGTCTTGACACACAGTGTCCAGCATCTTGAGGGTGCTAATAATAATAATAATACTATGCCATTTAGCAGACGCTTTTATCCAAAGCGACTTACAGTCATGCGTGCATACATTTTTGTGTATGGGTGGTCCCGGGGATCGAACCCACTACCTTGGCGTTACAAGCGCCGTGCTCTACCAGCTGAGCTACTGAGGACCACATGTGGGTGCTGGCTGAGGCTTGCATGTAAACAATGTCA